CTCATTCACCCAGCCCTTGGTGCAATGACAGACAGAATCCTCTCTCCAAAGGGCCAGCCAGCTTATCTCTTCCTTTCCCTGTGGCCCAGAGCACATCACAAGCCTTGGGATGACACCCAGCTGCTTTGGGACTGTGAGCCTGGGACCCTGCTGGCAGTCCCCTTCCCACAGTACCACATGGCAGCAGCAGCCTCAAGCCCTGGAGAAGCACCAAGGGCTGCAAGTCACCCATCATCCAGCCATGTAATGCTCCTCATACAGCCCCATCTCCTCCCCAGCCCCAAAGTCAGCCACGACAGCTCAGCCAGACAGGCAGCATGCAGAGCCTGCACTGGGACCTTAACCAAGTTAGGCAATCCCAACACACTCCCTAAACCTATCTGGCAATGGAGGCAGGCAGAAGGGACAGTTGCATCCCCCATATCAAAATGGAAACAGAACCTTCAGAAACAGGACAGGCTGTAGCAGGGAGAAGCAACAGGACAGCAGGAAAGAGACACGCAATCCCAGCAAGGTTCAGATATGCTCAGAGAGCAGCCTCCTATCCCTCCAGCCCAAGGGTAAGCAGATCCCTAACCTCTGTCACCCCTGAAGAATAAGGCTCAGCATACGCTATGTTCACACTGAGGTGTCTGCTAGGAACTGTCACCACTTCCTGGCATGCAAGGGAAGGAAAGGAAAAGGAGAGGAACTTGGTCATATTTCTTGGCACCTCCAAGGACAGAGGCTCACCAAATACTTTCTGAAGGCTGTGCTTTTCCTGTAAGCACTAGGGGACTGTGCTGCAGCAAAGCAAAGGTGTTGGGTTTTTCTTCCCTGTCTCTTTATCACTTGTTCTATACTGGATGCATCGGGCAGCACATCTTAGGGCCACTCCTAACAGATGTGAAAAGCCACCACCTTTCTCTGAGCTGCTATGCCATGTAAACTTCAAGTGTTATAAAGGCATGATGTTGTCTCTTTGCAACAGAGAGAATCTACAGCCAGGCACCAGGTGAGAGCCAGTGCTGTGGAAGGGAATGACAACACCATTTTTCCTGCAAAAAGAGGCATTGGTACAGGCTCGGTGCAGTCTTGACGGTGTGTTGGCGGAGAAGGTGCCAAGATTTTCATGAAGGGAACAGTACCAGGGATTTTTAGCCCCTGGAAAATGCCACATAATTTACTTTCCTAGCAGAGACTGTGGTTACTCAACCACTTGTCCCAGCAGAACTTCAGACTATTGCTCTTCCTTCCCCCAGCAACACGAAGAACTCACTTTGGACCAGGCCTATTCCCAGGTCACACAGAGCTGTGAACATACAAATGCTTTTGTTGACATAAGCAGAGAGAGGCAAGAGTGGAAGCAGGGCTGCTCCTCTTGGCAGCGGCCTGCAGCAGCTTGCTGAGTGCACTGATAAAGTAAACCAATATACAACAATAAAACAGAACAAGAATCCCTCCAGGGAAACCTGGGAGATAAGAGCTTCTGGGCCCTTAACAAAATTATTTAAAAGGCCTAATAACCCAGAGCCCTGTGACAGCTGTCACTCAAGCGTCCCAAAGAGGGACTGTTGGCTGGAACTGCAAAGCATCCCATAAACCCTGCATGCCATCCCTGTAGCAAAGCCACAGTGCACTGAGAGCATCAGCCATGACATGGGAATCAATGCTAAAATGTCAAGATGAATGAAGCAGGACCTCAGGGCATGAAAGTATGGATCCTTCCTGCATAACCCTTTGGAGTCAGGAGCTAGGTTCCACCTAAGGCAAGGTGACAGAGAAGCATCAAGCAAGAGCCACCACATAAGCATGCCTTCACTGGTGTACAGGCTGCAAGCTCAGCTGCCTACAAAAGCCAAGGCCTTTTGTACAAGAGACCAGACATGGAGAATTGACAGGATAACAAAAGGACATTTCCCAGCCTTCCAAACACTTTGCAACAGCAGATAGAAACCCCTCTGAAGAAGAAGGCTTATTACTTCTCAGCGCCGAGGGAAGAATTTTACTAGTTCTCCCAGTGCAGCAGATGAAATGCCACTTAAATGTCACGTTAGTCAATATTCCTTGCCTCTCAGCCACCGGACACTGCTGCTGCCAGTCCCTTTGTTACGTGAACACAATTGCTCCCCTCCTGCATTGCCAACAGCCCTTCTCACCTCCCACCTCAGCTGCTTTGCTTACACCAAAACTATTCAGATCACAGCAAAATGGTTCCTTGTTAAATGCACATCAGCAGCCCCACATGGGTCCTGTTGCTTCTGAAGAGGTTAGCAGCTCCTCCAGGGAAACTCATACACACTCTGTGACAAGCAGAAGAATAGTCAAGGGGACTGCAACCACCATCTGATGGCTCAGGAGTCTGTGGCATAATCCATTCACCAGCTCCCTGCTCACCCAGAGTGCTGTGAATCAGCAGGCTGCAAGGCAGGCAAGGCATTCCCAGCATGAAGACAATGCATTTTGGAGGCTACAGGGAAATGAAAACACATCTAGTCCTGCTCACCTAAACAGAGTGCAGGGAGATGAGTAACACAAGAAAGGGAAAAGATGAAAAAGTGAAGTACATCAAACTTGGAAAGTCATTCTCTGAATATCAGATGTCTCACCTGGCTACTCCATATGCACAGGGCAATGCTGCTACCTGACAGATGTATCCACAAGGATTTACCTGTGGATACATCCACAGGGAAGCAATTCATCTTGCACTGCTTGAGTATTAGACCTGTTTTCAAAAAGTTTCCAAATGAAAAACACTTCTGAAAGGTACCTCAGAACTCTGCTCTAATTACCAACTCTGTCTCACAAAGAGTGCATGGCAGCAACAGCAGGCAGCAGAAGACACATGGAATTGTCATGCCAGTGAGCAGTGGAACAGACACCTTGCCCTGGAAGACTAGCAACAGTTTGGCAATACAGGAACTAGACACACTGTTCTGCTCCAGAGGTCCTTGGGCAATGACTTCTGGGCTCCAATCCAAAATCCAACTGGAGTCAGATGTGACAAGTGACATGGGAACCTGCCTGCCCCAGAGCAGAGCCCACTCAAGATGCAGCACTCTGGGGGAAACATGTTCTCCCTCCCCTGCAAGAGCAGTAATCTCATTGGAGAGAGGAAGAGAAACCGTGGCAGAGCTGGCCATAGCAGCCAGCTCTGCCAGAGTTCATCAGTGTTCCCAACCATGCCAAGTAAACCCTTTCCTATGCCCTTTCAAGCTGCCAGCAAGTTTGCCAGCTCACATGTATACACAGGCATGTCCAAACAGTACATGCCCTTTACCACAGCTGATCCATTTGTTTCAGCTCCACACCACCTCAATTTGCACTGACAGAGGTCCAGGACACTGCACCAGCACCAGGGACAACTCAGTGTCAGATGACCCTATGGCCTTCCTACAATCTCAGCCATGTGCCAAGCAAGATCTCACAAGCTGCACAGCAGCTCTGCAGCCTCTCTCCCCCGAACTGACCCTGTGTGTCTGCAAAGTGCCCATGGCTCACCTCCACCAGAGCAGCCTGAGGAGCGGGCACAGCTGACCCTCAGCACAGGGCAAACAGGACCTTGCTCGGCACGGCCCCGGCAGAGCCAGAGCCCGAGTCAGCGGCGTGCAGGTGCCTCTGAGCGCGGGGGCCGTGCCAGCAGCCGGCTCAGCCTCCCGAGCGCGCTGGCAGGGAACGCGCTGCACGCAGGCTCGCGCCCACACACAGCTCAGCAGCGACCTGGCATTTCTTCCCCCCTTTCCAAAGCCAAATTCAGACCATCTGTTGAAGTATTTCTGCAAATCATCCTTCTTTTGGGAAGGGCCGGGGGCTGAGTTTAGTTGTTTATATAGTGTCTGGCATTTCTGCAGTGCTTATCACTTCAGTATCCAAGTTATTTCCTTCAAGCTCTCCATTACTTTTGAAGAACCAGTGTGAGGCATCACAGAATCTACCTTGTAAGTTCTGCAAAAAATAAAAAAGGGCATCAAAAAGATGACAGCTGCTCAGGTCATGCACACATTTAGCTGCTAATAAAGCCAGTGGGATAGTTCAGGAGAAAGGGGAAGGGCCAACACAATGAATTTTATGTCCTTTAATAAAACTACTATACTTACAAAATAGTCTTCATAAACTGCAAGTGCTTCTGTTGCCTTACAGAGAAGAGCTTGGCTTGCCCAGGGCATGGAAAAGGAAGCTAGTACTGCTATCCTTGAGAAAGCCAACACACACTGAAAAAGGAAGTTGGAACACCTATAAGAAGAGACCATTTACTACATCAGATCATACTTTCTGCAACAGCTGCCATGGCCATTGTAAGGGGCAAACTCCTGGAGTACTGCTCTTCCCTTTGCATTGCAAGGGAAAGGATCAGAGACGTACTGCTTACCCCAGGTCACACCCTAAATCTGTAGCAAAGGAGAAAGCAGGACCCAAATTCACAGTCAGCTCCCCACACAGCCTGTCCCTAAAACACAATTTCTTCTTTTTTATAAATCCCTAACTATCACAGAGCAAAGAGAACAGCACTGAACAGAGCACCAAACATACTCCCAGTCCACACATGGCCTTGAAGAAGGTGTTTCCATCCCATCAGACCCATCAGGCAACAGGGAATTGCCCTTTTCTCCACACCCATTAAGGGCAGTAGGGTGTCAGGCACCACAGTGACAAGGACAGAGATGCAGCAACAGCAGAAATGAAGATGGACTGGCCCAGACCATCAAGCACACCACATGCTACAGCTCTATTCAGGCACTTATCCACACAGAAGCCAGCACTCATCCAGCCTGGAGCTCTCACACCACACAGCACAGCTCCTGGTCAAAGCAAAAAGGCTCACTGAAAGCTGCAGTTGAATTCAGAAAATAAAGATCATGGCTACTGAACTTCTTTCTGGCTTGATCCAAACCAATTGCTGACTTATACAGCATCGCTTTCCTGCTAATATAATTTGCTGGAAGTCCCCTATCCTTGTGCTCTAATTAAAAAAGAAAAGCATGTAACTCTTCCCAAACACCTCCTCCAAGCCAGTTACTCACCCAGTGCAGAAGCATTGCTGTCATATATAAGAGGGGAATATTTCCTTCTCCTTCCCTCTCCCCACCCTGTCCGCAAAGCTCCTCATAGCTGGAACAGCTTTTAAATTGAGAGTATGAGCTCCAAACATATTCAAAACTCCAGGTGGGGCAGGCGCAGTCTTTGATATGACTTAGTCATCTCCAGCTCTTCAAATTCATACTATTTGGGGAAACCTAGCTGGGTCAAAACCAGCCTCTCTCCTGCTGGCTTCTGGATAAATGCCTCAGACACAGGAAAGAAAAAGAAATCCAGTCAGGTCTCCTGATACGCCATACACCGGCATCAGTGTGAAGGAAGGAGCAGGGCACAGGAAGGTTTGACAAGATGCAGTCACCCACCCACAACAGGACTACCTAAATGAGAACAAGTAGCAGTTATGAAAAGGTTTAACAAAATAGAATAAGAATGCATTCCTGTGAGCAGCTCACCAATTCAGCTGTACTAAATTATGATCAACAGAGATCCCATAAATTAAATAAACAGTAAGCCATCAATTCCTTCTGATACAGAACAAGCACCGCTGCCTGGGAGCCTCTGCCTTCCCCAGGCATATCATATCCACATAGACAGCCTACCTAAGACACAAAATGTTCAAAGTTTTTATATTTGCAGATATGTAAGAGCAAACTGCCAGACAGAAATCCAAACCACCCATAGTGACAAGGTCTTTTCATTAGGTTTGTCTGTGATTTTGCCTTGTTTTCTAAAGCTTTTGTACCTCCTGTTACTTTATCTTCACAATAACTCAAACTACCAGGCAATCAATATTGCAAGGTTAAAGCACCATCCAAGTTGGGCATTGGACAGCTCAATCCAGCTCCTCCTTCCTGCTATCTCTGTGCTGGAAGGCAAACAGAAGTGGACAGGAAAAAATATTTATCTGCTGTTAGGATTAGCTGAAGCAACACAGTGCTAGCTCTAGCAAGCTGCCACTGTTAGCTGGATATGGCCAAGTGACAGTCCCCAAACCAAGCAGGTACAGCCAGAGGACTCAGCCTTGCTGAAGGAGGATGGCTACATTACATCATGGTGCCAGAGAAGCTGAAACACACTGCCCTGTTAGACCTCAGACACCTCTCTGGCAGAGAACAGGCACTTGCAGTCATATTCCTGTGGTCTCACTGTAGACAGACAAGACAACTGTCTCCAGCAAGGCTGGAGTCCATGCAGCCATTTATGAGGAATGCACCATTGAACACAGGCATAGTGTTCAACATGTTCAAGAGCAACAAATAAAAACAATGCACTGCCTACAATAGGCAGCATTTCCAGCTCATTTCCCATGATAAGTAATTGACAATTCTGTATCTCCCAATCTGCAGTACTGTAGATGTTTGGTCACTTCTAAGAGAGCCTGAATATACAAACATGGGTATTAAAGAAGGCTTTTGCATTTCCTGAAAACACAGTTAAGGATTTAGGAGAATGCATTATGGATGTAAAAGGCATAATTACCAGTCCTTATGTACCTGCAGTAGCAGAGGGCAGAAGGCAGAATGCTATGAACAGGCAGATTCTTTCCCATCCTGCACCGTTGCTGTAGAAGGGGCAGTACAGACATTTTTCCTACAGGGCATTGCAGATTTTAACAGGAGAGCAGAGGCAGCTGGGAGAAAGACAGGTCCAACTGGAAGCCTGACAGGACATTAACAAACTTGTAAGTGACAGGCTAAACAGGCTGTGGGACCAAGACTCTTCCTATTGCTCGAGGGTTCCCACATGATGCTCAAGCTCAGCTGGTGCAAACTAAATTTGCTCTACTGTCTGCCAGAGCTGTATTAACTTACTCCAGTAAAGGTGCTCAGCTCTGGGACACCACTGGCAGGCCACTGGGACACCACTGATGGGCCACTGGGACACCACTGATGGGCCATCAGCTGTGTAGAAATTTCATTCTACGGAAAAGCAAAGAAACAAAGCAAAAAAACCAAAACAAACTAAACCAAAAAACACAAAAATATTAAAAACCCAAACCAGCAAAAACAAACAAACAACAAAACAACAGGGGAAAAAAGGCACTGTGCCAAAGGAAGACCAGGAAGAAATCAGGCTTAGAAAAAATACACCTCTGTTCTGAAACAGCCTAGAAAACAGGAAATTGTAGAAACTCCCTTCACAGTGCATTAGCATCCTATGATAACACACATGAACTGCAGCACTTGGGATCATTTATCCCAGCCATTCCAAACCTGGTTTGGTTACACATCATCTCCACAGCCCAGGCTCTCCTAACAGAACAAAAATATTTTGCATTTTTCCAACCCTTTTCGTTTCCCCTTGGGGCCTAGTTCAAATATCTTTTATGTCATTCTGACAGCACAATATGATTTTAGGCCAATAAGCCCAGGTCATTAAGAGATACACTCTGTGCAAGACATCTTGCTGGCACTGGAAAGTTGGCAGTGCAAAAGATTTGCAGTTCCCTGCCTGCAAGTGAGACCAGAGATCAAGTGACAAAAGCAAGCACGTTGTGGAACAAAGCAGACCTGCTGCTAGTCAGCACCAGGGGACATGAGTCCCTCTGCAGTTATGGTCAATGATGCTAAACTTTTCTTCCCACCACACAAGCCTTTCATCCCTCAGATTTCACAAGGACATCCCACCTTCTAGTAGCTACTGTGAATCTGGCAATTTCCCTCCAGGAGCATTTTATTTCCACAGTGGGGAGAGAGTCCAGAGGCTTGCCAGCATCTGTAAAACAATTAACTGCCAGCCCAGCAGCAAACACAAGGCCTGACCGTTTGGAGGACCAGAGATGGAGACCATGCATCCTTACTCCACACCCAGGTACTCCTTGCTGAGAAAGAAGGAACAACTCATCTGTCACCCATCTTACAGCCTCTTGGCTGCAGATTATTCAGACATAACCCACAATGTGTTAAAGAAACTCTCCTGTCTGACCACCCAGGAGCCACTCTGTCAGTCACACTCTCTCCATTCCAAGACTTTCAGTGCTGGGACCAAAGTCCCTTCACAGCAGATGGTTCCAGTGATCCCATGGGTGGCCCTTTTGGCTCCCTGCACACCCCACACTCACACAGACAGGGTTTCCTTACTGGCTCAGCCCTGGGTTTCCCACAGCAGTCTCAGATGTCTGGATCCTCCAAGTAATTTAATCATGGTGCAGTGACACAAAACCAGCTTGACCTGGTGCCTCTGGAGAGGCAAAAGCATTCCTGGATTTTTATACTCTTACAGTCTGTGCACCCACACAGTCTGGGGTCTTCTTGCTGAGTCATCAGCTCCTGCTGTATCCCTGTGCCCTTTGCTATCCAAAGGGTCAGCACCAGGTCACAGCTCCTTTCCCGGCGCTCCTCACATTTCCCCCATCCAGGGCACAAACTGTAGTACACTGCAGCTGCACACCCAGCTATCAACACTGGGTGTATTCCTCAAGAAGTGCCAAAGATATTTAACTATTTTCACAGCATTGCATGATTATTACACACCCTGAAACAACAATGTTCCCTAGATTGGGCTTTAACCTTCAAGGAAAAGCTGTTCTCATGGGAATCTGCAGAATTGGGCCCCTGGTCAGGGATGTTCACTCTACACAGAGATTTTATTCTAGCTAAACAAGGCACAACATTTACTCACCTGGAAACACAGCAGCCCTACTCTGGGAAATTTCTCCCTCCTACTATTTCACAATTCTCAGGATGACAACAGTTACGCAAGAACAGCTGCAGAGGAACATGAAATGCTTACAAGCTTCTAAGCAAGACTTTCCCCAAATTTCCCTTATCACAGCTCCAAATCCTATGGCTCCCAGGTTTTAAGGCACACCAACCACCAGTCACCATGCCTCCATCACACCTGTGCTCTGGCAGAGACCTACAAGAAAAAACATGACACACAAGCGAGTAGGGAGCTGCTTCCACATGAACATGCTGCTGTCACCCTGGCCAGCCAGGTAGGTATTTCCCCCACTAATTTAAATCTTGGCAGGAAAAGGGGAGCAAATGGCCTTGACAGGCTGTCAATGATTTCTACCTTTCAGTAACTTAATACAGCACATTACCCCTTCCTAAAACGGCAGCAGGAAGATGCTCAATGGCTCTGGCATCCTAGTAAGACATTAACACGATTGTTGGGCACCAAACAGGTGCAGACTTTCCTTCAGAGCAGAGCAGGGCTTCAGTTTTCAACATAGATTTGATCCCTTTTCCATCTCAGCCATCTATCTGTGCCACAGATCACCACCACCCCCAAAACATAATGCTTCTTACCACGACAGGCACCCGATGAACGGATGAGCCCAAGAGCACAGCACCAGTAGAAAAACTGCACCTGTATGAACAACTACAAGTCGCAGCACGCAGTTAAAAATCCTACAGGCAAGACATTCAAAGGAGTAAACCCTCGTTAAATCCCGGTGTTTATTTTCCGAGGAAGAGGTTAGAGGAACTCCTCCCATTAAACCTTGCCTACTCCTTTGTTTATAACAGTCTGCAAAGCAAAACAGAAGTAGAGGACAAGAAGACAACCACCACCCGAGTCCCACAGGATACATCCTTATCAGCACCACTCTAGTTCAGCTGCCTTTTGCTTGGCATTGCCAAGAAGCGAGTTCTTGAGAAGCAAAGCCATAGTTATTTGCAGTAATCAAAATCACTGCAAATATCACCCCAACAGCAGCAGCACCACAAAGTCAGACCCTAACAGCAGCGAGACTCTCAGAGATTAATATACTATGGTAAAAATACCCACTATTTAACTGTAAACATCTAATAGCTAAAAGACATTGGGCCAGATAAATATATCTGGGATCCTGCCCTGACACCTGGCAAGGTATATAAACTAAAAGCTGAGAAGCCTTGCAGGAAAGAGGCTGGGGTACTGGAAAATCCGATTTCCACAACTTCACCTTCACCTAGCAGCCGCAGAGGGTGCAGCAAGAGAGAGGATGCTTGGGGTCCAATTCCCAGGGTGACCTTGAGGAAATCCCACAGTCTTTCCACATTTCCACTTTCCCCATCCAGTGCGTGAAGAGCACAATAACCTTGACCTACCTCAAAGAGGCAGGGATCTGGCTTAGGAGAGTCTGGAAGGAGCTCAGAGGGGCTTAGACGCAGGACCTGCGCTGCCACCGGGGCGGTCAGGGAATCCTACGAATCGCCCGAGAATCAGAAGCCCGGAGAAGCTGAGAAATCGCTTTCACTATAAAAAGCTGCAGCTCCGGGGCACTAAAGGCTCGGCGGAGCCGACACGTGTCAGCCGCGATCTCCCTGGCGCGGGCAGGGCAGAGAAGACGCGCTGCAGCCCCGCGCCCGGCAAGGGCAAGCCCGCACCACGGCCAGCGGGGCCGCCAGCCCCGGGCCCCCGCGCAGGCACAGGAGCCAGCCCGGGAAGGAGGGGAGGGGCTGGGAAGACCTAAGACCCCCAGGCGAGGAGGGGAAGTGGCGGCGGGCAAGGGGAGCCGCAGCTCCGGGGAGGGGGTGGATGCATGGGGAGCCCGCATCCGCCGGGGCGGGGGGACGGCGCTCCAGGGCCCGGGGGCGCAGCAAGGGCGGCCGGCACAGCCCTGAGATGAGGGGCCGGGGTGAGCGCGGTGGGGCCGGTGCAGCAGGAGCCAGGCCGGGGAGCACGGCCGAGCCGCACCCCGGCGGCAGGAGGGGTGTCGGGACCCGCGGCGGCGCCTCCCGAGGGCTTGCGAAGGGCCGTGCCCTCACTTACCGGGCGGCGGCGGCGGCTCCCGCCGGGGCCGGGGACGGTGCGGCGCGGGGTGCGGAGCTCCTGCGCGGCGCGGCCCGGCCCGACTCAGCTCTGCCCCCGCCGGCCGCGCTCGGCGCAGGAACCGCCGCCCGTCCCTCCCCGCCGGGGCGGCCGCCGCGTCCCCATGGCAACGCGGCCGGGGCCCGGGGACCGCCGCCGCCTCCCCCGGCCCGGCGTGCCCCGAGCAGCCCCGGGCCGCGCCCACGGCCGCCTTGCGGGGCGGCGCACGGCAGCGCACGGGGCAGAAATGATTAGTCTGTCCTCCGTACCCGAAGGGACGGCCTGAAGTTGTGTCAGGGCAGGTTTCGGTTGGGCATTAGGAAAAGGTTCTTCGCCCAGTGGGTGTTTGGGCGCTGGAACAGGATCCCCAGGGAAGCAGTTACAGCACCAAGCCTGGAAGCGCAGGAAGCGTTTGGACCAGGCTCTCAGGCACATGGTGTGACTCCTGGGGATGGTGCTGTGCAAGGACGGGAGTTGGATTCGGTGATCCTTATGCATCCTTTCCAACTCAGCATATTCTGTCATTCTGTTATTCTCTTCAGGATACCCACCAGACCCATTGTGCCCATTGGATTATCATGCTGTGTTCCCTGCTGCCCCTCAGGAAAGCCACCATACCACTGGCAGGCATTGATTTTTGGGGTTGGCAGGCTCCACTATGGACCTGGAGTTCTCGGGAGCATTATGGGATCTAAATGCTTGCTGGGACAAAACGTCCACAGAGGTTGTTTCATC